TATATAACTTGAATATTAGTCAAACATTATAAAAGAAACAAAAATAAATCGTTTAGTTGTAAATTAAAATTTATAAACACCTATTAAAAATATTTTTTAATTCAATTAGATAAATAACTTTTGAGAAGAAATGCATATTAACATTTTTTATTGGGTTTAGTAGATTTATAAATGATTAAAGGTATAAGTACAAAATTAAAGATATAGATAAATAAATAATAATTTGTTATTCGAATTTTGTTTTATAAACTAAAACTAATCCAAGATAATAATAAAATCATTACCCATATATATAAAAGAATTGAAATTAACAACCCTTTTAGAGACTTTTACTGTTCACTCATGCTATTTGTCTATAGCAGACCATAAAAATATATGTTGTGTTTAATCCCAAATCTCGACCAGTTTTTAACTAACAAGAAATTAACCTACTGGTGTCTTCTTCTTATGCTGAATATACACCGTCTTCTTTCATATATTGGTCATTGGTGCTGCTTCATTATGATAAACAAAAGCTTATGTATTTTAAGTTTTCAATGCATGGAAACAGTTCTTGACATACAAGAATTGACTTAAATTCTATGAAAAAACTTATTATTGCTGCTTCATTACAGATTAATATGGTTTGTGACTTAAACTATTCAATGTATATAATTGTACCATTTTAGCATAATAGAAAGTACCATATATTTTATAGGCAATTTCTGCTATCTTCTAAAATATTTGAAGAATTTTTAAATTTCAATATTTGGTATCGATATAAGGTCTTACAAGACTTGTAAAATACTAGTTTGTCATTTCTTCTTGTAATATACTTTTATGACAAAATTTCACTCAAAAAATTACACAAAATATATATTTACTTCATGTTTTTTTTTCTTTATTTCAGGAAGCATGCGAAGTGCTAATTGCTAAATCAAGTAGGCATGCTAATTGCTAAATATCCTAAATTATTAATGTAAAATAGAATTATGCTCTTGAGTCTCGAGCAACCAAGCCAAAATTTGAATGTAAAAATCTCAATTAGAGAGAAATACTTTAAAAATCAGTCAATTATAATTTAGAGCCATTGAATCAGAAACAGAAAGTTAGAATAGAAACATACCTGATTTAGTGATTTTAAAAGGTTGTTGAGTTGAATTATAGTCAAGATTCAAGATAATTAGAAGAGTCAAAGATAAGAGCATATGATTGTGACATTTTAATTAAGGTTGAAGAGTAAAGACAAGAACTGAGAACAAGGTTTCTGAATTAGTGATTATGACTATAAATTTTGGATTGCGATTGTGATTCATAAATCCAAATAAGAGTCTGGGACATTGAGAATGAGATGATTATCGGTTAGTCGCTTACCAAGGATGTGAATCGTTGCCATTAGTTTTACGTGTATCACTAATTGGCAATTGATCATCGAGAAACTAAAGCGACATTCTTGTTTTTTAATTTCTAGATTAATTTCACACGTCTGGAGTTCCAAATACATGAAGTCCTGAACATTAATTAACCTAAAGAGACTTGGGCCTAAATGAATATAGGCTGGTATTAAAGTGGATGGAAATTTTGGGTCTTAAAGAAGAATGAAATTAACCTAAATAGACCTGAGGCTAAATGAATATAGGCCGATATTAAAGTGGATGAAAATTTTGGGCCCTAAAAAAGAATGAGCCTTGTTCAAAGGCACATTTGAAATCCCTTTGGGCCGACCTTAATCAAATCAAAGTGACCAAAAATATTTGGTACAAATATATTTATTTGTTTCAAAAAAAAAAAAATCTAATTTTTTTGAATAATTTTTTTTACATGAACCTCATACCAGCTCGAAATGCACAACGACCATTTTTTTCCACCAACATGATATGATAATTTATTAAATTTGCTATATAGAAAATGACAATAATCAAATGTTGATAAAGTTACATAGCAAATGACAATGCTGACAAAGTTATATATTTCATGTCTTATTTAAAACGTTTTAATATTTTATAACTAAACTAGTTGTGAGACTCATGTATTACATGAGTTTATTTTTTAACATAAAAAATTAAGGAAAATGACGCAACGGCCCTATTATGTATTTCGATTTTACCATTTCAGTCACTAAACTTTTTTTTCTTGCCTTTTAAGGGAACAAAATGTGTTGAGACATGTTCATTTAGTCCCTTTAACTTATTTTAACGGGTTACAAATGCCACGTAAGCAAGTTAAGCCAGCTCAGTTATGACTTGGAGGAAATGACGCCGTTTTGGACATGACGCAACATAAACCAGTACACAATTGACTTGGACCATACGACGTCGTTTAGAGTATAACCCTTAGGGAGCAAGTTTCGGACTGTTCATTAACCTAAGTGGTTATAAAACGTATGTTGGTGCCCTAAAACGATTACAACCACTAACTTTGTTACCCTAAATTCACAAAGCAAATTGTACCCTAACTAAGCCAAAAATGCCTTCTATGACGTCACCGCGCAACAGCTGGTCCTTCGAAGACTGGCGTCACATTCTAGCTAACGACTCTATTGCAGGCAAGCCACAGGACATCCATATCACTCTTCTCCAACTTCAACTTGAGGTTTCACTCATCAGTGAGGAAGTAAATGCAGACCAGCGTCAGCTCAGGGAAAGTCTGCGCCGGGAGATGGATTCCATGATTCGTGAGGTCGATGATGTAAGGGCAGGTGTGTTGGAGATGTCCCATTTGACCGATGACATGAGGAACCATTTTTATTCACTCCAGCTAGTGTATATCAGGAATCGACTGACATAGCTAAAATGAAGAAGATGCTTGATGTTACAAGTCTATTCGGAGTGGTCGTTGTTGCGGGAGTGGTGGCAGCTTACAAGTGGTTCTGATGAAGGATCGTTGCTTTGCTTTGTTTGTGTTTTGATTTTTGGGTGTTAAGTGTTAATGTTTTGGTGGAAGCCAGTAGTATAGTTATGGATTTCTTCTTTTGGTATGGTAGATATTGTGTTGTTTGTAGATGGCAAATATGGAAGCCACTCTTTTGGATGTTAATGATATTATTTAGGATTATATACAAAACCCAGATGAATGCAAATAACTATTATGGCATTATACATATTGTGCCTTTATTTTAGAATATGTCAACTCATGTTGTATGACCCAAAGGTTGAACTTGTTTTGTTATATATACATATTTGGGGCCATATGCTTTACAGAAAAAAGGTTTTGTTTGTATGCTCACATGTTGTAAAGGTATAAGGGAAAAATGTTTTTGTTTTATATGCCACATTGGACGTGAGGGCCCTCAATCCCCACGACCTGCATATACAAGTTACTAAATAAAGTAACCAGTTATATAGATAGAAAGTTACCAAGTGTGACAACTTTGGTAGGGTGAAATATCTAAAAAAACCTGCATGGCCCAAAACTGTGACATGCATTTATTCTTGATTGTTAAATAAAGGGGACATTATGGAAACTAATTAAACCAACGTCTAAAAATAACAATTAAAACGCAATACAAATTACATTAACATTTAAAAACCAATTCAAAGTACATAAACATTTAAAAACCAATTCAAAGTACATAAACACCCTTGTGTACAACTAGCTTTCAACATATTCCATTAAAAGCAAAGGAAATTATGTAATTACCCATCCACCATACACTACACCCACACTACTCCACATCCATTAGCTTTGATGCATTGCTACCTTCACCTTCAATTTTTTTCCAACTTCAATTTAAGGATTCTTTCAGATTTTTTCCTCTTCCTTGGTTGTTCCACTTTACCAAAATGCACTTCCTGCTCATTAACCCTGTTATCTTGACCACCAGCATCATCCATTTCAACATCTTCCCTATCAGCATCACACATTGCAACATCTTCCCCACCAACATCACCCATTGCAACATCTTCCCCACCCCTCTCCATGTTCACTGACTCTTGTGTTTGTCTCAAACTTTATGGCTTCCTACCCTTAGTCTTAGGAGGCCTTTCAACTTGAGGACAAGTGGTCTTGTTGTGTCCTTTCTGTTTACATACACCACATCATACAGATTTCCCAGCCTTTGATATCGTGTGTCTGCCAAACCTTTCTGAACCATCTTTTTTTCTCTTCATAGTAGGTCTGCCATGCATTCTTCTTTTAATTGGGGGCAAAGGAGGGACTTTGTCTGTAGATGGCTACATGTTCATTCCATTCATCCCATGTATGGGCTCTTTGTAAGTATTATGGTATAATGCTGCAAAGTATATTTTGTCCACATGTGCCTGATAATGTGTAGTATTTAAGAATGATAATGCTGCAACTGAGTACACACAACCATAGTCATTCAATTGCCACAACCTGCATGTACATTCCCTCTTCTGGACATCAATAACATAAGACTGCTCCAGGTTTCTTGTTTCAAACTTCATAACCCCACAAGAAATAACTTGCCAATACCTAAATTTAGCAACACCAGTTAACTATAATTCTAAGTTGTGAAATTGTTCATTCAATGGTAAATTTAGTGACATACATTTGCTTCATTTTTAACAAATTCAACTTGTCCCTAATATCAGGAAAAATATTTAAACAATCCCATCCTTGTCCCTTAACTTGCATTTTTACCATCCTTTGCATGACATAAATACGAATATCCTCTAACATATTGATAATAGGTTTCTTCCTAGCATCCACTATAACAATGTTGAAGCTTTAAGAGTATCCATTCTCCACAGATTCACAAGCTTGGTGAACTTTGAAGAAAGACAAATACCATGTGTTAGGATCCCTCTCCATAAGATACACAAAGGCAACATGATTTAGTTCTTGAATCTCCTTCGTGGCTGCATTGAAATGTGCTTCAGTAGTTGCTTTACTGGCCCCCTAGAAAATATTTTCAAATTGTGTTCCAGGAAATTTTTTCTAAAGTTAGCATATATATATGCCTTGCACATTGTCTATGTTCTGCTTCTGGAAGTACCTCTTTCACTGCCTCAATCAATACCTAAATGAGCATCAATGATATAAGAATGCAGAATGACATACCGTATATTGTCCTTATATTGTAACACATTAACAAAAAAGTACCATACCTTATGTTGATCAGATATTAGTACGACCCTAAATCCTCCATGTTGTAGGTTCAAATCTTTTGTATGATTATCAATAAACCACTTCCAATTGTCTTTGTTCTCTACACATACAACAATCCAAGCAATTGGGAATATGACATTGTTAGCATCCCTACCCACAACACAAAGTAGCTCACCCTGGCAATAACTTTTCAGAAAACAACCATCAAGGTTAATTATCCTTCTACACCCACCCCTCCAACCCGCTTTCACTCCCTGAAAACATATGTAAATCCTACTGAAGTAGTTTTTTCCATCAGGCATTGAATCAACAGAAATTTTTACAGTTGAACCTGGATTTGATCTTTTAATCTCCTCACCATATGACCATAACTTGGCATAGTTGTCTGCAAGTGCACCTTCAACTAGAGTAAAAGCAAATTTCTTGGCTCTCCTACATTGACTCATACTCACTTCAATGCCAAATGTGTTTTTGACCTCATCTCTAAGCAGTGTAACACTCATCTTATAATTGTTTACAAATTCTTGGGTGAAATGGTTTCCTATGAATCTGTAAGTGACAATTGACCCAAATTTAAAATTCCTAGAACAATTATGATCAATTATCAGAGACTTTATCTAGAAAGACTTATCATCACTCATCCATGACCCCCAAAGCCTAAATGTACAACTTCCATTACAACATTTAATTAACATCCTTCTACTATCATTTTTCTTAAAATATAGTTGATAACCATTAGCAATTGCATAATTACATAACATGTGTTTGAGTTGTTTAGGATTCTCAAACCTCATACCTAACACAGGTTGCTGCTCCTTCCAAGGTTGCTCTTCATTGAATATATTTGGCAAATCGGTATCAACATCAGCCTCATCATCTTTATTCTCCCCCACGCTATCATTAACAGGTTCGCCTTCACCTACATTGTCACTCATCTCACACTCTAACTCATTATCTTTTTTGAAAAAAGGAGGGTTGCCATGTATCATCTGTTTCACCATCATCGTGGGCATCATCAACAACTTCTTCATAATTAGTATCAACAACTTCATCTCTTTATTCATCCAACCACTCATGCATGTTAGTTGTACTAAAATGGTCTACATACAGTGGGAGTACGACACCATATTCATACGCAATGGCTATAAAGTGGAATAATCAAGTTTATTCCTAATTAACCTCAAACCTTTTGGAAAATCGATATCAGGAAGACAATAGTACAGTTTCTCACATTTTTCTCCTATGAATCTTTCCATGAATGCATAGCACTCGTTCTTGTCCATGCCTGCGAAATCAATGTTCTCTAGTCTCTGCGTAGTACCATCACTGTATCGTATGTTGTACCTTTCAGATATTGTTGGAACCTGAAAGTGAACCTCTAGCAATCTCTAACCTTTTGAAGTTCCGAAGTCAGTCTCAGTTCCAAAACAGAAGTTAGTGCGAAGTAAGTGTGCAGTCCGGAATAATAGCTTAAGTCCGGAAGAGAAGTGAAGGTTGTGTGATTGTGTTCTGAACCAAATGAAGGCATTCCGGAATGGATGTTATGTCCGGAATGTTAACTTGTTTGAATCAATGTTTTATCCATTTGTATTAATTGTATTTGTCATTTAGATTGATGTCACATATCATAAGACTAGATCTCTTTGTCAAACTTAGATAATCAGTGTCATGAGTAACTCTATTATCCAGTATTATGTATGTAAATCAGTTTGTACGATGTATCATGTTCTCATATTTATAGGACTTTTCAATGACAAATCAATAGACAGATTGTTCATTCAAAGATAACAATATTCTAGTTACCTCACCTTTCAAGTTATTCTCTCAAACATTCTTCTTGTTCCTCATTTATTATCTTTACCTTGATCATTATCTTCACTCTTCATTTAATATCTTGAATACTTTGTTGAATGCATTAACTCAGACTTGACTGGTCTTGCCAGATTTGATTGGAACATTCCTTACCAAGCAGACATTGATCTTAAGCATTCACTCAAGGTTTGAGTTTTCAAACCTTGTCCCTGCGCATCAGATCGTCCTTGTTCTCACAATTGGTATCAGAGCTTGAGTGGTTGTCCTTTAAATCTATAATATCATATTATAGTTGATTCGAGATTACCATGGTATTTCGATCATTTCTGCGTTCAGGATAAAAGTTCTTCTATATACCACTTTTGCTCAAGATATCTTAACTTCAATGGCTGCTTCTAATACTCAACAAATGTATTCAATGCAAATAGCAAATAGCATGGGTTTCCCTACACGTGCCCCACTGCTAGTTATTGAAGAATATGATCATTGTAAAGTTAGAATGGAAAGATTTTTACTTGGAAAAGAGAAAGTTGAATCTATCTGGAGATACGTTAAAGAAGGTCCTCATGTTCCAGTTCGAACCGTGGTTAGAGATGCTGCTGTAACTCTCTTGGGACAGGATCAACAACGTCAAGCACCTCTCACTGATGATGATCTCGAAAAGTTGCATGCTGATCAAGTTGCCTTTTCGGAAATGGTGTTTGGTGTTCCATCATCTCTCTTTGAGCACATCAAACTGTGCAAGTCTGCAAAAGATATTTGGGACACACTTCAAGACTAATTCGAAGGGTCATAGAACATGAAGGATAAGCGTTTGACTTCGGTTGTCAATGAATTCGACACTTTCACTACAACACCTGGTGAATCTGTTGCCTCAGCCTCAAACAGATACCAAATTATTGTCA